AACGTAAACGTTTTCTTTTCTCGAAAACGTATTCTTTCCTTTCCATGTATTATATTTGTTTGTTTCGCGTTAACCGAGCGAAATAACTCGATGAAATATCGACGTAAAATATTACAGAAGCTTGCTCGTAACTAACTTTTAGAAAGGTATCATTGACTGTGAGTAATGCTTCCGATATCTTTTACGCAATGTTTCATTTTACGAGCCATAAGATTATAAACATTTCGCACCGTATAATTGAAAGTATATTTCATCAAACTAGACAAAAAAAAAATCGATCGATAAATCCTCGACTTTTTCTTCTATTTTTACAAAACATTGATATTACACGTCGATCTTTCTAAAGTTCGTTGCTCTTCCGTTTCCTATTTTTCGAATCTTATTGCTCGTATATATATATATATATANTTATTCGCGCCACACACACAAGCGATTTTCATGCTTCCTCGTTCCCCAGAAATTGGCGCGAAATCGTCGAACATCAGGCGTTTCCGAGAAATCAGAACGTGCCGCAGTTTGAAGTAGACGCGTCTACCTGTGTTACGCAACCAGGTTTGGAACGAAGTGTCTTATTTTCCTTTCCGTTTTCTTTTTTTTTTTTTTATTCATCTTTCCTTTTCGTTCTACAACGCAAGGAATCGTGACTTGGCGCTTGCATCAATCTCTATTGTGTCTCTTCTGTCAGGAATTGAAATCTCGGAAGGGAGGAGTAAGGAGCTACCTTCACGTTCGCACCACTTTTTATTCCGATATATCGTGGAAATCGGAACGTTGCGTCAAGAGCTTCTCACTCTACGCACCAATTACGATGTAACGTTATCGTGAAACAATCTCTTGTGTTATTATTTCCGCCATTTTACTCGATTTTAGACAGGATAGCCTGCCTTTTGTTTTTTTTTTTTTTTTTTTTTTTGCGCCGAGATTCGATTCAACTTTTAATTCACACGATTCTAAGTTTCATTAATGTCGAGTGAACTATTTTTTGCATATGCATTACGAAGGAGATTGATGAAAGAAAAGACTTACCTTATATGAGCATAATGCGGATTAACGTAACTATTTCTTTATATATATATATCCATCTTTTTTTCCACGATAGTTTTGTCTCACTTTTATCATTCGTCACGATTCATTAAAGATACGCGTAAAAACAGTAGGCAAAATGTCATTAGTTATGATTGAATTCGAAAGCGATGTTCGGGAGGAAACGTTTCGCAACGTCAAAATAAAAGAGCTACCTTCTCGTTTCAACTATAGAAATAATATGAAAGCCTATGATTTTCGTGATTATTATCGACAAACGTATTACGTTTCTAAACATACGATATAATAATGTAACAAGAATTCGAACGAGTTTGTTACACGTATGAAGAAATATTTCGATCTTTTATTTCTTCCTGTTTCAGTTTTCCTTTTTGTTTTCTTACGATATATGACGAAACATCTCTCTTATTTGCCTTACAGCCCATGCATTTCTGATATTCCCCTTCACTTTCTAACGTATAAAACTTGCTACACGTGTCAACAAAATCGACCAAATGGAATCGTATATATCCATGGAAAATGGAAATTTATAATACATCCATAACCCCGGAAGTATAAAGTATTTCCAATATCGATATCGTTTTAAGCTCGCGGGAAAGCGGTAAGCGGAAATGAATTCCTCGAATGTTTTTAAAATCGACGCAAACTCCCCGTCGTAACTCCAATGTCTAATGATGCATTCTTACTTCTCTCTGTTCTTTTTTTCGCTCGCGTAGAACTACGAAATTTGTGGCATTCCAAGATGGCAGACGGTGCATCGCGTCGTGGCAAAGCGAGGGGAGCGTGGAATCCTTCGTTCCATACGATCCGTCACGTTCGTCGATAGACAAGCTTGTTTGCACGAGAAATGATCGTCAACGGTACGTTAATATTGGCTCTGCCAACACGTATGCGCCTCGAGTTTGCGTTTTACTTGCCCGCGCATCCTCCCCCTCTCCCCTTTATTGCATTGCAAAACGAAAGAAAACGTTAAATTAATTGGGAAAAATGGATCGATGCCGTGGCGTGAAACAGCGTGGAAAGAAGCACGAGCAATGCAATATCGCTCGAATAATATTGACAAGATCGAGGAACATATTTTAAGTAAGTAACGTTAACGAAGAACTTCTCCTCCGATTTACACCATAATCCTAATGAGAGAGGCAGAGTTGTAAGTAAAATAAGATCGTAACTTCATCGTAATTACTGGACCGTAATTTCACAGGGGTGCGACAAATTACTTCCAGCGCCTAAGCCACGTTTCTCCTTGATAAAACTTTATCGAATTCCCGAGGGAAAGGAGGAGCCACGTGGAAAATAACACCGAATCGTTATGCCTTCCTCGGTTTAATTAACATTATTGAAAATGAGAATTACGCTCGTCGTTATTTATATCCGAATATTTCTCTTTTATTTTCTCTTTTATTAATCGCATAATATCATATCTCTGAATAATCCATTTAATACGGCAAATTACTTTTTAATCTCTCTGTTTAATTATTATATCATCTGTCTAAACGATATTCCATTCCACGTATCTACTGCATTAAATCCTCGCGTTATTATTAATAACAGAAGCATAAATAGAAATTCACAATTAGAGATAAACACGTGTAATATGATACTAGTATATTCTCCACATACTCGATCTGAGAAATCCTTGTAAAAGAGTAGTGGCAACGGTGACATCTGAATTTATCGCCCTATTAACCGGTATGTGCCGTGTCGCGGAATTGTAAATGCAACTTTCATCGGAAGTGGACCACCATCTAGAAATTCCTGGTGTTGCGCAACACGGTGCAGGATTATACTGATTTAAATTCCACTCGAACCTTTGTCAACAATCTGTCTCGCACGATGCAGAGAGTACCATCGGCTTTTCTCGTCTCCTGTACAAAGTTACCGGCCTCTCCCTCTCCCTTTCTCGTATCTCGTATTTGCATCGTCGCGGAGAAACTTTCCAAGTTTCACGGGACCGGAACCACCCATCGAACCGATCGAAAGTTCCCGTGTGCCAAGACCGTCGTGGCTCTGAAAAATCTTTTCGATTGGTGTTCGTGTGTACGAACGTAATGCTTTCCACAGCATTCGCAGGCGAGCCTACAAAGTCAATGAGATTACGTGGACACCGATCCGTGCACTTCCTAGGTCGCTTATGCGTTACAAGTGCACACGAATGATTGAATGTTCGATCTTTACTTCCGCGCCTCGTTTCGTTTCAATCGTAATAAATTATTCGTGCGTAAAAGCTGTTTATTATTATTCTCCTCTTTTTCTTCTTAGCTTATCACTTTTTTTTTATTATTTAAACTTCTTTTCTTAAAAGTTAAAGGAAATATTTTTAAAAATAAAGGATTTGGATGGATACCGATAAAAGGAATTGTTTGTTTTACGTACATATATGATTTTGAAACTTAGAAAAAGTTAAGAAATATACGTAGATTTGTATCGATTTTATAAAGAGAGAATTGTGAAGAACAGGTAATTGTTTCGCATTATTTCAAACGATAAAAATCAGAGAAACGAAAGTACAAAAGGCAATGATTGGATTATAAAATACTCGTATGGTAAGATACGGATAAAGACGCATACGTAACATGCGGTATGAATCATGTATTCATATATCATCTTTTAATTGGTAATTTTATGAAAAAATTACAAAAAAAAAAAAATATACGATTAGACACAATCTCTTTGATAATAATAAATAGATGAAACATCAATCGTATGACTTTATTTTTTAATCGTAACAAAGAAACGTCAATCATGCGTATACATGTGTAAAAATTATATATCGAAAGTGTTAAATTTGATTATTTCCAATTATTAAAAATAGGTATGATTTTGAGTTATAATTCTTTGAATTTTATCATATCTTAAATTTATTTTTAAATTACGATTTACAAAGCGATAAGATAGCGATTATAACTAATGATGTAACAGATAGCATCCATGTGTAAAAATTGCTTTTAATGTTGCCACTATCAAAAAATTATTAATTACTTTTTTTTTTCATTCATATAATGAAATTCATCGTTTATAGGCACTTATTACACAACGATTTTAAAATTCGTACATATAAATATTTTTATAGAAATTGGTTTATTAACTATTAACCAACTTAATTCTACATTTCTATTTAATGAAATATACTCGTTAAATCCTACGTAAGTACTACGTAACTCTATTAATGAATTAAAATCAAAATCAATTTTCTTTTATAATTATTTTCCTTCTTTTCAATTTTTATAATTACAAAAAATTTGCAATTTATTAAACTTTAAATGATAAGAAAATTTTGTACAAAATTGATATTACACCGAATTATTGGAAGACAATATTCATAATACTATAACTTTCATAACTGTTTACGTATAAATACAGTAACTAATGTAAATATTATTAATATAATGTAATAGATATACAGAAGAATTATATTAACCGGGATTCACGTTTATCGTATTAACTATTTTTTCATGTTTTGTAATAACTGTATCATCGATATTTATGTTATCACTTAAATTACTTTCTTTATCAATCTTTTGGTTTTTAGAATACACAAGATCGTTTTCAATTGATCTATTTATATCTGCTTTGTCTTTCATTGTGTTAGAATCACAATTACTATCAGTAAGACTTGTAGCGGCAGTGTGTTTTAAAGCCAAATATTCGTCAACCGATCCCATTGGATGTTTCTCTGTAACTTTGTTATTAGTATTTTCTATTGTAGGTGGTGATGAGGGAGGATTTTTAGGAGATGTATTAAGTTTAGAAAGTCTTTGACGTTCTCGTAATCGTTTACGAATTTCCGATTGAATCTTTGATTCTTTTATCACACTTTGAACATCGTCTGTCTGATAGTAACGACTCGCCCAAGTTTCGGTTGCATTGGATTTTTGTGAAGAATTTTCTGCCATTTGTGGATTCGATTGCTTATTTTCTATAATTTGATTATTTTTATCATTCTCGTTATTTTCTATATCATCCATATCGTCGCAATAATTATCTAAATCGATTATCTCATCTAAATCTATAGATTTCTCTTCATCTAAAACTACTTTGCTTGATATTCCTAACGTTTCGATGGAATTTTGTTTATTTGGTGATGAATTATCATGTTTAATATTATTTTCTTCTTTTTCATTTAATTTTATATTCGAACAATCATTATTTTTTATATCTATTACATTTTGACTAACATTACTTTGCGCGTTTACTTCGAAAGTTATATCTTTTGATTGTTCTTTTATATGCGATTTTTTCTTTGTTTTTCGCCTTTTGCTACTAGATTTTGATTGATTATCTTTATGAAGTGCATTATTGCTATGAATACGTTTAAGAACTTCATTTTTTTGTGTACTATTTATTTCTTGATGAATTTCTATTGAACTTTTTATTATATTATCTTCCTTCGAATTTTCTATACTATTAATATTATGTACATTATTTAAATCTCTATTTTCAATATGATTAATATTGTCTTCGTTTTCTATAACTCGTTCATTTTGTAATTTTTTATTTACACGTACTCCACTATGAGGTTCTCCTTCACTGTCGCTAGAGAGTAATTCGATAGTTGGAGTTGGTTGAACAACTAATACCACATCTTCATCTTCAGCACTATTTTGCTGAGCACTAATAATTCTTTCCAATTGCCTTCTGCAATTTTCCTTTTCTTTTATTTCATCTTGTTCAGCCTTAGTTGCAGCAGTTTTATTTGAAATATCATTATCTGTCACAGATTTAGATGTATTTGGTATTATATCTTCCTCTTTTCTTATTAATGCTCTTATTGCCCTTGCGCGCATTTCTAACTCTAATAAATCTAATAAACTATCAGCTTCTTTTTCTTTATTTTTATCATCTTCCTTTTTTACTTGTACATTCTTATAAGTGTTATCAGGAACTTTCTTACTATCATTTTTTTTGATAACTTGAGATTTCCCTTTTTGTTTAATTCTTTCCTTCTTTATTCTTCCTTTAAATGTCTTTGAACCTTCATCCTTTTTAGATATATCTTCATCAGTAAACCATTCTTCTGTATCTGAGATAATTTCTAAAGAAGGTCCTATTGTTATGAAAATAATGTAATTTAAATATAATATATTTATAATAATAAATATAATATAATATATTTAAATTACTATATGTGCTAATTCTAAATTGCATAACTATACCTGAATCATCTGTTTCACTTGTATCTGATGATTCTAACATAGGTTTTCCATTTAAAATACATAATATACGGCTTTTGGACATACCACTTAATTCATTAGCACACCATTTTTCTAATTGTCCAAAATCCATTTTCTGAAAGGATAATTATGTGAACTATATCATATATTATGTATTTCTTTTAACAATTTATTTAATCCATCAAATGATGGAAAAAACAAATATACCTTTAATGTTTGAGGCAACATCATGCGTATTTTTTCAGCTTTAACAGATTTGAAAAGTTGCCTAGCTAATTCTCTACGATCTGACAAATATTCTTTAATTGATTTTAAATCTCTAACATCTACTTCTTCATCAGATGATAATGAAGAAGAACTACCAGACGAACTACTACCTTCCTAAAATATTATTTCTTATTAATCAAATTATAATAAATATTTATTCACCACAAGTATATGAATATATACTTATTGAATACTAATAAAAGATAAATAACATAAGAAAAATTACCTCACTACTGTATGCACTTTTTTTTGCTTTTGACATGTTTAATTTATGAAATATTTTCTATATATATTAAATTTTTATAAACAATTCATACAAATGACACACTATATCATCAAATTTCTATTATATATTATAAATATTGCCTGTTTTCCATTCTTTTAATATGATAAATCCAGTAATATTAATATAAACATCAAACAGAGAAAACATTATGTAGTATTACTACAAAACTAGAAACAATATTCAAAATCATAGATGAAGTATATAATAGATTTGTGACAATATGAAGATGACAGATGCTTTATTTATGTTATCAATACATATGTATCAATGTATTTCAAATTATAATTTTATTCTATGCTTATTGATAATGTTTAATTCTATGTTTAAATGAATAGTTTAATAATTTTTAAACTTTAAATATATGAAATATAAAAATATTTGATATGAAATCTAGGTTATATGTTGTTCATGGTGAAACAGCTACCTGCTACTCATGTCAGGAAATAACCTATCTTATTGTTGACAACTATTTGTCAACAAAATGATACCAATTAAAGAGAATACAGACTTATGAATAATCCGAAGTATAATCATATAAGTATTTTATTTTTAAATAGTGTTATTGAGATTATAAGAATATTATTCTTAGTGTGGAATTAATTTTGTGATTGATAATTGACAGATAACAGATAACTAAATTAGCAATTAAAATTTTACATTTTCTCATTGCTAATGTTGTACATAGATGTGAATTCACATCTTTTGATAAAAAGTAAAATAGAATCAATTACTAAGATAGGAAGTCATACCTTTCCTTTATCATACCTCCCAAAATATGTGTTATGATAAAGTCTACTAGATTTATAATATACTATATTTCTTATTCTTGTATTTATAAATAGCAAAGAAAAAATGTTGAACAGAGTTAAATCAGTATTAATGAATGTTGTGGGCGGAAGTGAACTTGGCCTACAATATCCTACTGATTCAGATAATGAAACAGTAACAGATTATCTTAATTTAAATATCGTTACAGAAGTAGAAAATAAACCATATAGTAGACCTAGTTTTCTAGGATTAACAACAGAAGAAACTCAAGTAAGAATTACTATTGATTAAATATAAAATATATTTTTATGATGTTATAATCAGTAATAAAATCATTTATTTATATAATTAATAGGTAAGTGCTGATCATAGAGTAAGACCAATTATAGTTCCAAGAGACTTAAGTCGATTACCATGGTGTGCTGGATATGCAGAATGCATAAATGCTGGAAAAAGTACATGGAATGAAGACCAAACATCTGCAACTAGAGGAGATCTTAAACTAGCAGATGTTAATGTTACATTGCCTTATGTCATGTTCTCTATGTTTGATGGACATGCTGGTTATCAAGTAGCTTTAACAGCAAGATTACACTTACATAGGATAATTCTTGTAAAAAATTTTATTCAAATTGTCTATCTTAACTATAATTCATATTATATTTTTTTAAATATATATTGATTTTATAGGGAAGATTAATGGCAATACCTGGTAATATGTTATTAAATGAAGATGAAGATGAACTCATAAAAGGAAGAGATTTAGTAATTGGTGCTATTGAATTAGCATATAGACAAATGGATCAAATGGTAGAAGTACAAGCTCAAGGAGGAGGTGGAGGTTGTACAGCAATTACCATTTTATTTTTGAATGGTAGATTGTATGCTGCAGGTGCTGGTGATTCAAGGTGAACATTTCAACAGTTATTTCTGATATGGGTTGTATATTAAAATGATTAATATCAAATATATAATTTGACAGAGCTGTATTAGTTTTGGGAGAAAGTCAACGTGCTTTAACAAGAGATCATACTCCTGATTCAGAATCAAATCGCGTCAGAGCATTAGGTTTTCTAAGAAGTACCGAATTACTGAAAGGTCATTTCACACCACTTGAATTTAGAAAAAGACCTTTGCAAAAAGAATTAGGATCTATGGTTTTGTATAGAGAACCTTATATGACTGGTTGGGCATATAAAGTATTAACAATTTCCGATTTAAAGCTACCTCTTATCTCTGGACACGGAAAAAGAGTAAATAAACAACATTCTTAAGACTAGAGAGATTACGACGATAGTTGATATAAACATAATTTTTTTGTACAACTTTTATTATACAGAGTCGAGTAATGGGTACTATAGGAGTAACGCGTGGTTTTGGAGATCATGGCTTAAAAGCGGCCAGTACAGGAGTTAATATAAAACCATTCCTGTCATCACAACCTGAAGTGCAATCTATAAATTTAGATAGTTGTAATCTCACAGAACGTGACTGTATTATTGTAGCTACGGATGGACTTTGGGATGTTGTATCAGATAAAACAGCAGCGAATATACTTAGAAAAACACTCGCTCCTGATAATCCATCATTAGAATATAGGTATTTTTTTATTTGAATTGGAAACTATATTAGAAATAGAGATTACGAAATTATTTCTGTTACAGACTTACAATGGGTGCTCAAGAATTGGTACAAGCAGCACGCGGTAGATTAGTTGGACGAGCTTGGGTTGGTAAATCAGAGAATCTCGAAGAAACAGATGAAAAATTTTCACCCATGGCATCAGTTGATGATATCAGTGTCTTAGTGGTACCATTGTACCCTTATTTGTGTGAACATAAACAGTGGTTAAAAACAACACAACAAGAAAGAAGATACTCTATGGATTCGTTACACATATCTGTCAATAATTCTGTATAATAGATAATCAAAATTGTAGAAATCGATTTTATGTTTAAGTAGGAATGTTACAGTTGAGATCAAGTGTATATTCATGAACTAGTATGAAGATTAATCACCAAAATACTGTTGCTTTTTACATTGCTTTTAACAGATAATATTTATATTAAATTTTAAAATTATCTAACATTTTTTTTTGAGAGTGATAATTTATTGTATACTGCCACTTTTTAAAAGTGTAGTTAAAAAATGCCATTATTATTTAACAGAACATTCCAATTGTAGAGTGTTGAATATAGTGTAAGTAACTTAATTTTAATATTATATGCAGCATCCAAAGTAGAAGTAAAATCTGTATAATTTTTAAATTGTGTGCATAATTACATATATCATGAACAAAGTAAGGAAAGTAAAGTAGAAAAAATTTGTACAAAAAGTAATCTTACTATAAATATACTTTTCATTAAATGATGACTACCTGTCTATTTTATATTTATTTTCACTTTAAAATACATAATTAAATTGAAACATATATATATATATATATATATATATATATATAAATAATGAAGTTGATCCAAATAGATCAATAAAAAGAATAAAATTTAATTATCTTATCTTTGTATAATCTGTTTTGATATATTCTGATGTACTCAGTGTAATTAAAAAATTTAATAAATGTTATACTGTATTAAGTTAAATGAATTTGAACTTATTTTATTTAATTTTATAAGTATATATTATTTCTATTTTAAATTATTCATCTAATCAAAAAGAAATATATCTTATTGATATATTCAATACTATTTATTTTGTAAAATAAAATAAAATTATTCGTAAAGTTTTTGTACTTACATGTTGATTCCCATCCTATGATGAAAAGCTACCAATATTTTCTTCATTATTTCACTTATTTCACTAAATATTCACAATATTATATATTTATAACTTTACACGTTATCTTATTTATACGATCATTCGATTTTGCAAATTATTTTCACGATATTTTAATAAGAACTTTACATTAATATTGTAAATTTTTCACACCGACACGACGCGTTTCAGTTTGATCATGAAATTTGAACTTTTCAAACGCTTTTATAGGATATCGTACTGCGCATGCGTCGCGCCTAATTTAAACTAGGAATAATATACTTTTTTTCATATTTGTATGTAAATAACTTAAAATTTTTAATATTTTATAAGAAATTGTTCGTGAAATGTTTTTCTGTTTTCAAATACGTATATATATAAATAATATATATAAAAAAAATGTAACGTTTAAGATAAAATTAACAATTAAAATATTTTTTTATTTGCACATTTAAACTGTAAAATGTAAAAATTATATTAAAAATTGGAATCAGTTTCTTTCGAATAAAGGCGATCCGATAATAATTTCAAAATGAACCGTAAATTGACATTAAAATTTCTTCGCAACATTGCAACATTCTGTGTATAATGGATGACGTAAAAATATGAATTTCCATATACGAGGAAAAGCATGCAGGGAAACCTTTAGGCACTTAAAGGGGCAAGTGCATTTTCACGTCGTTGGATGGCACAGTGTTCCAAACAGTCAACTTTCACAAATTTAATTATAGAGCATAAGCTAAATGGAAGGTAACATTCTGTTTTCATCAGAATTATATATTATTAGTTAAGGCTAATATAAACATTATCTTTTTACTTTTTAAGATTATTAATCTTAATTTCTTCGAATTCCAGTTACGATTTTATATTATATTCAACGTGTGAATTGTATGTCCTTTATGGCTGACTCTACGAAAAGATAACGTCCTGAAATTTCTATGAAACGACCGGCAATAAAGGTGCAGATGAATTTTAATGCATCACCAATGTCGTTCCGGACTAAGAGCGACAGCATAAAAGGGCAGAAAGATAAAAAGCGTCGCGAATCACCGTAGGAAAGTGCTCTCCTCCATGCGGAATACGCGCGGTGCCTGTGAAAACTAAAGCTACTCTGACAGTTCCCCGTTGACCCTAGCATCGTTCGGTTTTAAAAAGTCGCCGCAGCTTGACTTGACAGTTTTTCAAACTCTTCTTTGCCGTAAGCCATCAAAATTTTCATTCCCCTATTTTTTCGAAAATATCATTTCGACGCGGTTTAGCTAATGATTTATATCGCTAAATACTTTTATTATATTATAAAATACGTAAACACGTATTTTTACTTTTAAAAAGAATCAAATATATAATATTTAATCGATATACCAAAAAAATTAAAACAAGAAAATCCTAATATTTTATATATATTTATATTTGTATAAAATGTAATTTAAATTTAATTTTTATCGAGGAAAAAT